GCCCAACTGCTGGAGGGATGGATAATGTCCCACATGTGGCAGCAGCAGGATGGTGCTCAAATCCACATGGGATGAAGCCCTGGAGATGAATAAACCAGGCTGCAAGGTTTCCCTGGGAGCCACACATGGCGTTTCACCTGAGCTGGATGCCCTGGGAAGAGAAAGATTCCTGTTTTTACTCACCCATCCCACTGCAAGGATGGATCCAGAGCCGGGCAGCAGAGCCAGAGCTGGATCAATCCCCTCCACACGATGCTGGTCATCCTGACAAACTTCTCCTTTCCCGGGGTTTTAGGGTGAAATGTTTGCTCTTGGCTTTGCCTCAGGCAACCCCTTGAGAAATCGGGTGAGAAAAGCCCGAGGAGGAGCAGGGGATAAACAGCCTTAAACCAGGGGATTACTGCAAGCACGTTCACCCCCTGGCAGGAGCACAGCTGAAGGACCAGGCACTTGGATCAACTTCCAAGACATTTGGGAACGGCCTCGCCTGCCCTGGGAGGACCTGCCGGTTTCCTCACCCCACCGGCTGCTCCTCGCCCTCCCGCTCGTGTTTTTCAGGTCCAAGCATCCCTGAGGAGAAGGTGGGGAAGACGGGTGGTCCCGTGCCACCCTCTGTGGCTTGTTCCCACCGTGGATTCCCTCCTCCCCAGCCCCGGTCTGGCGCGGCTCTGCCCGGCACACGCGGCCCGGCTGGATCGGTGCCAGGCTCCATCCCGACCGGCTCCGGTTTGGATGGCGATGATGTAACCCAGCCCCACGGTTGCTTCAGAAGGACACGGGACACGGGATATGCCCACCCCCCCAGGGCCACACCTGCCCGGAGGAGCCGGTGCCATCAGTCGGGGCTGATCCCATCCCTCCCGCGGGCACGCGCCCGGCACGAGCCCGCCAGCCCAACTCCTCTTCCCGGCCCCATTCCCGCCTCGGCGGGATTTTGGGAAGGGGCTGCGTGTGCCTGGATCGGCCCCTTGTGTGACAGAGGGGCGAGGCGACAGACAGGGAAGGTGGCTGAGGACGCAGGGAGGGACAAGACATTCTGGAGTGGAATGCTGCTCGCGGCGCTCCTGCCTGCGCTGCATCCCCTCTCCATCACCCGCCCGGTGGAGATGAGGGGGATTCCCCCGGCCATGCGATCCCGCAGGGAAAACGGGAGGTGGAAGGCGGAGTGTTTGTAGCAGAGAGAGAGTATTCCAGACTTTTTTATCTCCGCAACTGCAAACCAGCTTGCAAAATCACCGGAGCTCCCGTGCGAAATCCCAGAGCTCCCGTGTGAAATGCCAGATCTCCAGAGGAGAGATTCCTGCTGGGAGTTTACTCTGTCACGCACGGCAAGTCCCGGACAGGGTGGGGGGGAAACGGGGGGGCGGGCAAAGTTCAGCTCCTATAAAATCAGGTCTGGTCCAGTTCATTCATTCCCCTCGCAGCATCTCCGACAGCGGCACGTCCAGCCTCTGCACGAGATTTGGGAGCAAATCCTGCCCCGGGAGCTGCAGGATGCCGAGGAGAGCGATGCCGAGAGCGCTGGGGGATGTCTGGGCAGCCCTCACCTGCCTCCAGCTCCTGCTGCTCCTCACCGCCGTGGATTCCCGGCCCCTCACGTGGGACCAGGACAGGCTCCAGCTGGAAGCCGTCAAAAAGGGGATCCTGGAGAGGCTGGGAATGCCGGCTCCCCCCGTCATCCGGCACCAACTGGACCAGGAGAGCATCCGGAGAGCGCAGCAGCTCTACCAGCAGAAAGTGGCGGAGCTGGCAGGGAACAGGAGCCGGGAAGATGGTGATGAGGAGGAATCCGTGTCCAGGACCCGGCGTTTGCACCGCCTGACCCCCATCTGTAAGTGGCTCCTTGTCATTCCACGACCCTCGTCCCCCCGGGACACGCAGCGTGTCCCGCAGTCGGGCACTGTCGGGACATGACCGGGCATGCAGCACGGTGGCAACGGTCATCCTTATCCCACGGTTTCCTTTGCCCTGGAAGAGGGGAGGAGCCACTATCGGAGCTGTTTTGCTTAAAAACACCAAAATCAGGGAGCTTGGGATGAAAGGATTTAATCAGCGGAGCGGTGGCAGCTCGGGGGGCTCGGAGTGGGGCTCGAGGGGGTCTGGGGGTGAGCGGAGGGGAGGTGCCATCCCTCGACCCCCAGCTTGAGCCCGAGTTCGGGGGGATTTATCTGAATCTGGGGGGATTTGGGGGAACATTCTGCTCCTGCTGCTTGGGCTGGTGGGGGGACGGCAGGGGAGTGGGGTGGGGGTGCCCCAAGGCAGGGTACCCGCTCTGGCACCAGGAAAACCGAGACCCTCCATCTCGGGGGTCCCTGGAGATGGTGGGTCCTGAGTGATCTGAGGATCTGAGGGATGAACTTCCAGCACCCCTGGGGATTTAGGGGATTCCCCGGGAGCGGGGCTTTGGCTGCCTGAGCGGAGCTGGTCACAAGCCTGAACTGGCTGAGACCTGCTGGCTCTTACATCATCTGTCCCCTCTGTCCCCTCAGTGCTGCGCTGGCCGGACATCCCGCAGGGACACGGGGACTCCCAGGGACACCGGGACCCACAGGGACACCAGGACGCCCGTGGTCCCTACCGCTACCACCTCCTGCTCTCCCGCACCGAGGAATTCCAGCGGCAGCTCCGGGTGGTTCAGGCGGAGTTGAAACTCTTCAAGCGGTCCCTGGAAGTGCCCCCCCGGGTCACCATCTACGCTCTGCAGGGGGATGAAGAGACCCCCCAGCTCCTGCAGAGCCAAGAGCTGGACCCCGATTCCCAGAGCCTGGATGTGACAGCAGCCATCCAGCCCTGGGCAGAGGGTCCCGAGGCCACCCTGAGCCTGGAGCTGGACTTTACAACAAACGTCTCGGCTGCCCTGGCCACCTCGGAGGGGGGAACGCTGGTGCTGGAGGTGGAAACCCAGGAGAACTCGGCTCGGGGGGCCAGGAGAGCCCGGGGGCTGGAGGAGGAGTGCGGGAAGAGCGACGGGAAGTGCTGCCTGAAGTCGCTGAAGGTTTCCTTCCAGGACATCGGCTGGTCCGACTGGGTCATCGCCCCCCACAGCTACTACATGAGGTTCTGCGAGGGCTCCTGCCCCCACAACTACAAACCGGCCAACATGCACGCCCAGATCAAATCCCGGGTGCACTCCCTGTCCAAGGCCGCCCCCTCGCCCTGCTGTGTCCCTGCTGGCTACGACCCCATGGTGCTGATGCACTACGACGGCGAGGGCAGGCTGGTCTCCAGCGTCTTCGAGGACATGCTGGTCACCGGCTGCCACTGCGCCTGACGGCATCGCCGGTGGCTCCAACCGGGGTGTGTCACTGCCCGGGTGAGGCCTCCTGGCAGCTCCAGCATCCCCAAAATTCAGACTCCGTGGCATTCAGTGCCTCCAAGCCAGCCCCTACTCCCACCCCCCATCCATCTTGCTCAGCCCTAAGAATCTCCAGCTTCAGCATCCCAAAATCCAGACCCTCTGGCATCAAATGCCTTCACAACAAACCCATCCTCAGTGTCCAGAGTAGCCCCAGATTCTCCAGCTCCACTCCTGGGGTCTTCAGCTCCACTGCCCAACTCAGCCCTGGGCTCTCCAGTTCTGGATTCCTCTCCACAATAACATATTCCCTCCTCTCTTATTTAAATCCATATTTTATTTATTAAATCCATATTTTATTTATTAAATCCGTACTTTATTTTATCATCCCACCTCAGATACCCCAAAGGGGCCGGGGTGGGTCTGCCCCCTGGGTGTCCACATCCCACTCCATCCCTCCTTCTCTGCTCTTATTTATTTACAGAATAATAGAGTAAGACTTTTTTATGGAACCCCCTTATTTATTTCTAACTTATTGTATTTTATAGCAAAACAACTTTTTTTTGGGGGGGGGTGGGGGAACAAGGTTCTTTTTTGTATTTGTATTTTATGTATATAGGAAGGATATAATGATGTAAATGAATAAAGTGATGGGAATTGGGATTCTGGCTGCTCCTCTTGCACTGCTGGCTGGCTGGTGGTCTCCAACCAGAGCTCCTCAGCTCCCTTGGGATCTGACTCCATAGGGATCTGCTGGTAAATCCTCGTGGCTTCCCAGTGCCATCCTGCCAGCGTGTGAGTAATGTCTGGGCTCTGCTCCAGAGACCTCTGAGCTGTCTCTGTGGCCTTGGGATGGGTGTCGGGCACAGCCTTGACCCCCCGCAGGGACGTCCAGCCGGGATGTGACCGCTGCCCAATTTCCAGGCCCCTCCGGCCCTGGGACCACCACGAGGGTGTCCTGGGCTTCCCAGACCCTCAGCAGCTGCTGGTGGGATCTGGGCTTGAGGGATGTGGGATATGGGGACCCCTGCTCTGGGAATGGGAGCCTTGAGGGACACAAAATATGGAGATGTCCACTCTGGGGACATGGCCTTGAGGCACCTGGGTCCCTTGGGACCACCACTTTGGGGACAAAGGCTTTAGGGACCTGTCCTTGAGGGTTCTGAGTCCTTGGGACCCCTGTTTTGGGGATACATCCTTTGGGAGCTCCAGGGACTTTCCCCTGTGTCCTCCCCACAGACCACGAGCTCCATGGGTAATTAGAGATAATTAAACCATTTAATGGGCACGGTGAAGCCTCACAGGGGCCAGGGCAGGGGGACAGGGATGGGACACCCAGACAAGCCACGGGGGGGTCCCCCTGTCCCCCAGGCTGCCGTTCCTCTCAGGGTGCCCAACTCGGGGTCTCACCAGGAGGGTTAAAAAGAGGGATTTTCCCCGGCAGATCGAGCAGGACGAGCACGGGCGGTGCAACCGTGCCAGGATGTGCCCAACTGCCCGGCCCCCGACGCTCCCCATCGGCCCCAAAATGGGGAAGAGGAACCCCAGGCCGTGGTCACCCCCTGGCCCAGCTCCTCGTGGGGGCCCCGTGTGTGCATCCAGGCCGGAAGGCTCCGGCTGCCGGCGGATGTGGCGTCCCCACGGTCGGTGGCCACCGGCCCCGAGAGGAAGCGTCACCTCAGCCCCTGCTGAGCCCCGTGGTGGGAACTGGGGCGGTGGAGGGGCCTGGGGCTGGGGGGAGGGTGTTAAAACCACCCCCCCCCCAAAAGCATAGAAAGGCATTCCCACAGGAAATGCGCCTGGGAACCACCTGTGTCACCGGCCCAGCCGGGGGGAAACCCAGAGAGCCCTGTCCCCTCCGGGGTGGGGGGACAGCAGGGAGAGAACGGCAGTGGAGGGCAGAATCTGTCCCTTCCAGGCCCCCCAGTGTCCTCCCCAACACCCCCCCAGTCCCTCCCAGTCCCCTCAGTGGTCGGGAATGATGTAAACGTCCTCGCTGGGGCCCAGGGTGTTGGCGTAGATGGGCTGGTCCCTGGGATCAGCCTCTTTCTCCAGGAAATAATTCTCATCCTCTGGGACCTGGGGGCTGGGGGGGCAGGGGGGGCTCAGTGGGGAGTGAATGTCACGGGGGGAAGGGAGGGGAGGGAAGGGCTCAGGCCCCAGGACTTGGGGATGGTGGGATGGGACAGGACAGGAGGGGCGCGGGTGGCGTTGTGGGGGTGGTATGGGG